CTGCTGCAGCAAGTCATGCAAACTTGAGCCCTCTTGGTAGCTGCCACTAAACCTGTGACCAGAATGACACACACGACATGTGGGTTAAACCAGCTTGCTTGGTGGCCAGGCTTGCTCTGAGAAGGAAGGACTGTCAGCGTTGTTAGTGAAGTTACTGGAGAACTGCCAGCTCAGGCAGGTTTTGCTGTTGTGTTCATGCACTCCTATGGAGAGGAAAGTCCTCATTGCATGTAATGTCTATTGCCTGCCTGAGCTTGGCTGAACATGGCATCTGCCAGGGTCCTGGCCACCAGTCTGACACGGGCTTGCCCATGTGGCTTCTCCATTGCAGCCTTGTGCCAAGCAGCAGAGGCCTGGGCTTTCACAGGACTCTGTACCCCATGATAAGCCTGACAGTGGACTTGCATCTTGAAACCCAGTCCGTCTGCTCAGCACTCCCCAGTGATGAGGGATCTGTACCACACCTTGTTTTTTAAGCATTTCTTTGTGAGCTCCTGTGGTGACTCTTTCCAGTACCTGTAGAGGAAGATACTGAAAAGCTTTTTTAGAACTTATTCATTCACACACACCCCCAGTGCTACAAATGCTCAGAGCCTGCTTGTTTTTATGGACACATTGAACTGGATTATTTTTACTTACTGCAAAATATCAAGATTGGCTCAGGTGCCAAGTAGAGTTGCTCCTTTCATGGCAGGCTGAGGCTGCAGCCATGCTTGGGCATATCAGCACTCAAACTCCCTACCATGGGCTTGGGCAACTGTGTCCCCACTGTACTGTACTCCTGGTTAGTAACTCTATGTCCCTGGATACTGCAAGATCTGCCTTGCGAACACAGAAGTCATATAATGCTGAACAGTTGTGCTGTCTTGCCTAGCGGTTATACTGGAGCAGTGTGATTGCAATAAACAGCAACGCTGCTCAAGTGTCCTTCTTGCCTCTTGTTCTTCAGGTGAGGATGTGCCTGGGGTCAGGGTTAGTTTGAATTCATTGTCTGAAGTGCATGAATCCAAAGGCTTCTCCAGCTGGGGTGGTGTGGGTGGTGGAGCTGATGGGAACTTACTCTTACCAACTGCCTTGAATTCAGGAAAGGGAGGGCAAAGATACATGCAACACTTACCCTGGTTTAAATGTAGTTTATAGGATTCATAGAGTGTTAGGGGCTGGAAGGGACCTCGCAGATCATCGGGTCCAGCCCCCTGCTCTAGGCAGGAAGACATCTGGGGTCAAGTGACCCCCGCGAGGTGACGGTCCAGTCTCCTCTTGAAAAACTCCAGGGTAGGCAACTGCACCACCTCTGGAGTGAGTTATTCCACAGTTCGGACACTCTGACTCCTGACCTGCAGCCCCTCAATTCCCACCAGCCCCACCCAGTGTCCCTCACATCCGACCCACAGCCTCCAACCCCACCAGTGCTCCTCACTCCCAACCCCACAGCCCCTCAATTCCCACCAGCCTTGCCAGTGCCTGTCACTCCTGACCCGCAGCCCCTCATCCCCACTGGTGCCCCTCACTCCCCATCAGCCCCTAGTCCCCATCAGCCCTGCTGGTGCCCCTCAATTCCCACCAGCCCTGCCAGTGCCCAGCATTCCCGACCCACAGCCCCAAGACCCACTGGTGTCCGTCGCTCCCGGCCCGCAGCCCCTCATTCCCACCAGCCCTGCCTGTGCCTCTCACTCCTGACCCTCAGCCCCAACCCTGCCAGTGCCCCTTGCTCCTGACCTGCAGCCCTCATCCCTGCCAGCGCCCCTCACTCCCGGCCCACAGCTCTGGGTCAGGAGTGAGAGGCACCACTGGGACCAGGCGGGTGCGGGTTGGAAGTGAGGGCCACTGCTGCATGCATGGGGGGAGCTACAGGTCAGGAGGGAGGGACACCACTGCAAATAGAGAGGGCTGTGGGTCTGGAGTGAGGGGTACTGCTGGGAAAAGGGCTGTGTGTCTGGAGTGAGGGGAAAAGGGCTGCAGGTCGGGAGGGAGGGGCACCACTGGATCCAGGAGGGGGCTTCCACTTGAGAGTGAATGGCACTGCTGCGAATAGAGGGGGCTGCAGGTCTGGAGGGCACCACTTACAACAGGGGCTGTGAGTCAGGAGTGAGGGGCACCTCTGTGCATGTGATGGGGGCCCGGGTTGGGAGTGAGGCGAATCACTGGGTATAAATGGGGCTGCAGGTTGGCAGTGAGGGGCACTGCTTACAACAGGAGGGGCTGCAGGTCAGGAGTGAGGGGCACCACTGGGACCAGGGGGCAGTGGGTCGGGAGTGAGGGGCAGAAATCTTGGCCTGATGCTTTTGGGCTCCCGAGGTCTTGGGGTGATGCTGAGGGGCTGTGGTCGGGTAGGGAGCGATGACCCAGCTGGTGGTTAGAAAGATCCATGTTGGTGCCCGAGTAGTGCAAGACAGTGCAGTGATTTCAAAATAAAAATAAAAATGCTAAGAATAGTTAGAAAGGGGGCAGTAGAGTTCTGGTTTCATCCCAGAGTGAGCAGTTGTAGCAGTGGTGAGAGTACAGATGGATGCAGCGTGGGATTCATAGATGGTTAGGGGCTGGAAGGGACCTTGCAGATCATCGGGTCCAGCCCCACCCGCTCTAGACAACTGGGGTCAAGTGACCCCTGCGAGGTGACTGTCCAGTCTCCTCTTGAAAACCTCCAGGGTACATGAGTGCACCACCTCTGTGGGGAGTTTATTCCACGGTCTGGACACCCTGACTGGGAAGGAGTTTTTCCTGGTATTAAGCCTGAAGCGGCCCCATTGCTACTGGTCTTCCCCAGGGGTGCCCTAGTGAACAGCTGGTCACCGAGCTCCTGTTGCACTCCTCTGATATAGCGGTAAGCCACTAGCAAGTCGCCTCTCAACCTTCTCTTTAGGCTAAAGAGGCCCAGGTCCCTCGGCCTTTCCTCGTATGGCTTGCCTTGCAAGTTTCTGATCATATGGGTGGCTCTTTTCTGGACCCTCTCAAGTTTTTCCACATCCTTATTGAAATGCAGTGCCCAGAACTGGATGCAGTACTCTGACTGCAGTCTCACCAGTGCCGAGTACAGTGGGAGTATCACTTCCTTAGTTTTACACGAGCTGTATCGGTTGATGCATGCCAGTGTATGGTGGCCAGCAGGGCAAACAATATTGCACCGTTGTCTCATGTTCATGCAATGGTCAATCGTTACCCGTAGGTCCCTTTCAGCCATGGTGCAGGTCAGGCTGTCACCTCCAAGCCTGTATGTGTGTTGAGGGTTATTTGCCTCCATTTGGAGCACCTTACACTTGGAAATGTTAAACTTCATCTGGTTCCGGTCTGCTCAATTCTCGAGCCTGTCCAGGTCCGCCTGTATCGGCAACTGATCTTCTGGCGTGGCCACACTGCCCCATAACTTGGTGCCATCCGCAAACTTGGCCAGTGAACTTCTCACTCCCCCATCCAAATCATTGATAAAGATGTTGAAAAGCACCAGTCCAAGCACGGACCCCTGAGGGACACCACTGGCCACTTCACACCAAGATGACACACGAGAACTCTCTGGGTCCTACCCTGTAGCCAGTTTCCCACCTACTGATCTGTCGAGCAGCTGTGCCCACTATCTTCCAGTTTTCCCACAAGGATATCATGGGATACTAGATCAAAAGTCTAGGTATACAAAGTCTACCTTGTCTCCCATGTCCAGGTGGTGAGAGACCTGGCTGTAGAAGGAGATGAGATGGGTAAGACAAGACCTACCCACGACAAAGCCATGCTGGCTGTCTTTCAGCATCTCACCTTCCGCGAGCATATCGCACATAGATTCTTTAATGAGCTTTTCCAGGATTTTCCCTGGCAGAGAGGTTAGGCCGATTGGCCTGTAGTTGCCCAGGTCCTCCCTCTTCTCCTTCTTAAAGATGGGCATAATGTTGGCCCTCTTCCTATCCTCAGGGATCTCCCCTGTGCACCATGAGCTCTGAAAGCCTGAAGCAGATGGCTACACAAGCTTGTTATGCTGCTTTAACAGTTCAGAGGCGTTCCTGGAAGGTCAGGTACTGCTTTGAACTATGTTGCTGGGAAACACTTCAGGCCTTTTTCTCAGAACATTTGGTGCCCACAGGCAACAATGATCAGCTCCCCAGGTATCCCACGCTGCATTGCTTCTCCCACCTCCTGCTGTAACTGGTCCCTTTAGGATGCAGCCAAACGCTACTGTCCCGTTCCTTTTGTTAGCACTTCAGCACAGTGGCCCCTTGCACTGATCAGTCACTAAAGGGGATCTGCCCAGTGGGTCCTCATGCCCTACTTGACCACAGTGCTTCATCTTGGCTGGCCCCAGGAGCCCAGAAACACAGGTCAAACCATTCCCTCCCTGCTTCAAGTCTGGTAAGCGTGTTGCAGACCAGTCAGTTGCAAGCTCCTGGGGCTCCCACTTCTGACACCCTGGCTAGCAGGCAGCAAGCCTGAACTGCAGCAACAGCGGGTGGTGGGAGGGGAATGGGGGATAAGCCCCTTTCCTTGAGCAGTGAGAGGAGAGGGGAGCACTCACACTATTTGAGAAAGCTCCAGCTATGGGCAGGAGTTCGAGGTAGGCACAGCCCAGTGTCCTGGGCACAGCAGCATGCCAGGGCTTGCGCCCTTGAGACCATCTCCCCTGGCCCATGCATTCAGGGAGCGTATGTAACCTGGAGTGTCTTTCACCTGAGAGCTGCTTCTCCCACACAGATGGCAGGGGGCTAATGGATTGCATGTGAGGTCCCTCTTGCTGAAGGGTGTAAACAGGAGACAGGCCAGGGCAACTCAAACCCAGGGTTGTTAGTGCTCGGTTAAGGAGACAGCCCTTGAGAAAGCTCCCAAAGGTTTCTTTTCTGGGGCCTGCCACCCCAGAGCTACCGGGGTACATGGTTTGGTTAACGCTGCATTCCCCAAGAGCTGTGATGCCAACAGGCAGCAATTGCATTAGCACTAATAATGCCTTTCAGTGCTGCCTAAAGCACCCTTCCCAGCAA